GTTGCAATATGCGTTTTTGCTACCTGTTGCAGCGCTCTAGCGCTGCACGGCAAAAACGCATAAAAAAACCAAACCATGGCCAATATGAGCCCAAGTGTTAGGATGCAACGCAGGAATCATTCGTGCTATTAGCGACCTGCGAGTTTAGTGCAAAAACACATGATGGCACCGACAAGTCTGGTGCATTCCAGTCTGGGTTATCTCTATTTTAGTTCGTTCTTTGACTAATTTATTAATATTGTGCATTCTGACCTCCCGTTTCTTCTTACTTATTTCCATGTTTTTCTTTTAAATTCATTATTTAATAACGAATATACCACATATTCACAGAGAACGATGGGTCTAAACATACATGAATAATTCGTTGTTTTTATCTGGACTGCAGCACCGCAAAGCCCAATCGATATTTATTAGATCCAAATGATCCACATGTGATTTGCTTAAGAAGTTTTGCACTATGCTTCATGTAATTCGTGTTTTTTCTTGTAATGAGCGTCTTTCCGAATATTTGAGTAGCGAATCTGGATCCTCATCTCTATAGAAGTTGTGCTGCCGGGTTAGAGCATAAGGACTGATAGTGTAGTGGTAATACATTGCGTTTTGATACGAAGAGAAGTAATTTGATTCCATCTCGGTCCAGTATGATTTTCGAGAAGTTCCGTTAACAACAAGTGGTGTGCTGGCTGGTGCTCAATTCTGCTAGGAGGCGCCAAAAAAACTGAACAGTTCTAAATTTATTCGGAGAAGCGAGAGTACGAGCAGCGCGCATCGCAGAATTAACATAATACTGCAAAACGGCAGGAAAACCGACTGGAAAATGCGATGATACTTGATCTTAAAAAGTAATCTAAAGTGGCTATTACTACTAGGGGAAGCTGACAACTGTAAAAATGCAGAAAAATGCAGAATACTCGGGCGCAAAATTTTTGATTTCAGAAGCAGCTTGCCCCTTTCCCGGATTTTCTATTAAAGTACTCGGACAACACGATGTGTCCGAGGATGTTTCTGATCTGCTACGCACAAATTTTTTTTAAAAAAATGTTTCCCCCAAATGTTGGGAGTTTGAAGCCTGCAATTAGTTTGATTTGCGGCAATTGCATCACGGAATGCATTTGAAATAATGCATGGAGACATTATCTGCGCGTGCGCTTACGTCACGCCCTTATTCAGAAATTGAGAGAAATACGCTGCGAAAAAAGCGGATGTTGCCTTTTCAATTCTTTCAAATTGCTTCTGCTTCGGAAATTATCAAATTCGCAGTTCAGGATCTTTGTGTTTCGAAATGTCACATTCATTTGCCAATTTTTTCCTGTAAAACTAGATATCTCACTCATAACATTTTCATTCCGCGGACACACATCACTCCCGAAAACTTTAGTAACATTTTTGAAGGAGGAGCGCTTGACCTCAAAGAGACTAACAGTCGCTTTTTACTGGAAGACATTCAAAAACCCACCAGCTGAGCACCAAAAGGCCAACTTTTAAAGGCCAGAACATCTCTCAAAGTGATAAAAAAAGCTCTTACCGAACTGTTGAGGATCAGCGCTGAGACGCTGCAGCGATTATTAAGCTTGCAGTTGCTTAGGACGGTATGCGGGAGAGAAAATCTGCCAGGGGGATGGAGATGTCGCGCGAGCGGTGCAGAGCTACGACGAGAAAAACGCATGCTTTCGTCTGCATTGTTGCTTACCGCCGCTTCTCAACGCCTAATTTAAATAAAAATTTCAAATTCCTGTGCCTAGTAAATTAAGTTTATGAGCTGTCGCTTCACAGCAGCACACCTTCACGCTACCGATGCAATGTAGCAACCATCTTGCAGCACTGGAATCAAAATTGCACCAAGTGCTGGTCAATTAAGTTGTAATTCTGGCATTTGTTTTTACTGCTGTCTGCGTAGTGTTTGCTAAATACATCATATTTTTCCGCTGTTTATGAGTTTCTTCAGCTCACCTATTAACAACCATTCCATGTCCGTTTGCAACGCCAATTACTACTGGTAGGAGGAAGTTTTCAGAATATCATTTGAAAACCCGCCATACCTGAAATATTAAGAATTTCAGGAACAGCAGGTCTCCAGTGCTGTGATGGCTCTCAGATGAAAAAGCAGGTAAGCTGATGGCTCTCAGATGAAAAACGCAAAAAAAGTTGAAAAATTAAATAGAGAAATCGCTGACCGCTAATTTCCCGAAAATAAGATTGGAAATTCATTTAAATTCATACATGTACCCTCATCATGTACCCAGTACTTTGCTGCAAACTCTTATACTTAAGTATTCGCACTTACATCACACACTTCGGATTGTTTTTGAAATTTACAGACTTCAAAGGAAATTTGGATTTACATCACG